CCCCTGGACCCCCACCGGGGCCCTAGGCGGCCCCCTGGCCCCCAGCCAAGTGAGACTCGATTCGCTCCACTAGCGCCCCCCCCCCTCCGTCGGGGCCTTTAGCCCCTCCGTCGGGCAGGTCCTGGCGCCACCACTGGTTCCAGTTGCAGTACTTACACTACCAGATTAGTCTGCTGAAAGCGTTCGGGTTTAAGTGGTTTATGAATAATATTTATGGTGATTTTCAGATTCCAAACTGTCCGAAGAATAGTTATTGCAGACTATAATATAACTCCGCCAGGTGATAATTCTAGCAGTCTCTGGTGAATTTCAAGGTTTATGTTAACTATCATCAAATATTTATCAACATCGATTTATTTAACGAACGTCTCTTTCTTATTGTGTTAATGCGAAAAGCAAAGCTTTGAAGTGTGACGGATGTAGGCCAGGCCCATGGAAAAAGGATAATTTACATTGTATTTTCAGTCCACAGGCCGTTGCTAACGCGAACATTTTACAAGATTAATTCCGCCTCCACTTGAGACTGGAAAACAAATGTAGGCCTGTGACGCAATTAATAAGTTGAGAAATCAGTTTTCTGATTGGTATGTTCCCATTTAGCAGAAAATAAGGTTACTGGACTCATTGTTACCATGGAGTCAACCAAGTAGACCGAATGATTAAAAGTGAATTCGTTTTAATAAATAATTGAAACAGACGGATCTGTGCCAAAATATGTTTGCTTTGCTGCCACAGAGAACTAAAGTAGTCGAAGGACCAAATGTGATGAAGGACTGAAGATGTTGAACTAAAGGAATTGAAGCACTTATCTGCGGTTACAAACGCGTTCGCGAATGATGATGATTGAATGTGTTTTACTCAAAAACGACAAAAAGTTTCCAACAGCAATAAATATTCGTTAGATTTAGAACAAATGCAGTGATTTTTTTTTTGTTCACGTTGAAGTTTACGAGGCAAGACGTGTACATCTGATCTTTTTATTTATTTTCTTTTGAAGCAGTGCCTGTATTGTGTAAGCAGCCTGATGATTTGCAGTTATTTCTGGTAAGAAATAAATATAATTTAACTTCTATTCTTGTGAACCGGTTTAAAGATTTTACCCAGATAATTTAAAGGATTTTAGGAATGGAAACAAACCAGTCGTCTTTAATTGTTAAACCGGGATTACAGCACACTGCCGCAAACTCCATCCCTCTTAGACCTAGCAACATGAGGTACACACCTGGAGCTAAGCGCAGAATTTATACTAAAAGAGCAGCAAGAAGGAAGGAATCTCTATGGCCCGTACCTAGACGACTGCATCAGTCGGTAATTGTCGCCAAAGATAGCGGCATTATACGTTACGATAACGTAGGTGACGAATGCGAACTACCGCACGTTATTGGCGTTTCTGCACTACAAGGAAAAGGCAACCAGGTTGGAATAAACTTCATGGATCTTGAAACCATCTACTCAGCAAAGGTCCCGCCTCCAAGCGAGCGTCAAAGAAAAAGTTTACCCCCAATTAAACAACATGATGAAGTTAACTGCACTAGAGCTCTGACAACTGAAGTCGACAATGGCAAGAACAGTCTACCGAAGTTGCCGATAATCGAGCCAAAATTTCTCCCAGGCGAGACGATGCAAAGGTTGCATAGCGTTGAAGGACTTAGGACCTACTCAAGCCAACGACTTCGCAAAAAAACTGGGATTTACAAAGCATGCACAGGGCATAGTGTGCCAACGCCATTCTGTGACGTTGTTGGCCAGAAGTACTGTGCCCGCTGTTTTGAGCACAGGAAGAGACTTGAAATCGAGAAAAACTTGATTCCCATTGATATGTGGACAGAGGTAGTATTTAATAATAATAATTTCCCACAGTTTCTGAATTCAACAAGAAAGAAACAGACGTTGCCTAATGCACTTGGTACGTTCACAATATAGATCGGATTTCGAATTCAATGGACATTTCGGCTAAGCCCCGACCCTTGATTATTGCGAAGGTGGGGTACCTTAAACAACGCCAAAACTTATGAAATTGAGTGTTTGTGGGACGTACATGCGTGCATTCCTGGCTATAATACGTTCAGATTAGTCGGTTATTGAGTCTGGTTAACACTTTCATAACATGTGATTCTCTTCTTGTAATTCGTGACCAAAAGCATGACCAACCGCGGTATTCATTAACTTTTTGCCGACAGAAAGATTCCGTTGCTCAATTTGAGTGCTGGTCATGTTACTGGGAGCCAAAATGATCATATGCCTTAAATTACATAAAATGCAATCGTGGATACGAAATGAAATCGCCCAAAACTATTCATAGAATGTTCATAGGCCTTTTTACAGTAAGTGTCCACATATTTGCACAAAACGAGCCACACCAGAACTTGACTTGAAAAGAGTACAAAAGCATAAATTCTAAGGGGATTTGTACATGTTTGCATTGCAGGATGAACACTTCTCAACACCTGTTTTTAAGCTTACAGTGTGTATATTTTAAGAAAGCCTCTGAAAATGTCTATTACTGTATTGTTAAGCCATTGTTCAGAAACGTTATGAAGACGTAGGCATCTCAATGACGTCATGAAACGCAACTTGTCTCACTCTCAGCACATAGCAAAAAAAAAAATCGAAATGCATGTTGTACCAAATAGGTGTATCTTAACACAAATGTACCATGTACAGAAATTTATTATTCATTGCATATGAATAAGCAATACCTTGAGAAAAAGTACATAAGCTTGGCTCAGGTGGTAGAGCATCCAAAATGGCAAACGTTAATCATCAGGTCTTGGGTTCGAATCAAATGAAGCCATGTTTTTCTCATGTAAAAGTACTTTACAGTATCTTAAGTATTGTCCCATGCTAAATACCAAAAAAAAAATCATAAAAATATTTTTTGAAATTAACTTGCCCATTTTGAAGTAACATAAAAGTTACATAGACATTAGTGTATTTAAAAAATGTCTACCCAACAGTTTACAGCGAAAAAATGATAAAAACACTTCCAGTCACTGGAAGTGTTTCTATTATTTTTATTATAATTTTTTGGTTTAAAAATCAGGGAACAAATTTTTTTAATTCAATAATTTTTGTACAATGTACAAGTTAATAATTTGTATGCTATTGCAAAATGAGCAAGTTTATTTCAAAATTATTTTTTATGATTGTTTGACATTAGCAAGGGACAATACATCTTTAATATTCAAGTGGACCAGATTCATAACTGAATCCTGTCAATATATGGTGCTGTTTATATTAATCTTTAATTTGTTAGGCGAGACTATTTTTTTTTGCGTACTTACTTTTTTAATAGGAGGGCGCAATAAAAATAAAATTTTGTTTTCTTATTTAGCAAATAGGTTTTGCCAAAGTCATCCAGATAGTGGAGAAAATAAAAATAAAATTTTTTTGGTGAATGTAAAATAGGATGATGAAGTGCTTCAAATTTATATGTTTAGGAAGAAATATACATATTTTATCTTCGGAGATTTCACGGCAGCGGAGGGTGTAATAAAAATAAAGAAAAACTTTTATTTTTGTCTGAAATTTCCACTTTTTTGTAGCGGCCCTAATTTACCAAAAATATAAATTTATTTTTATTCGAAATCATCAATATTTTGCAGTCGGCGGGTTCGCTAAACAAGGTATAAAAAGTGTCTCACCTAAGGTTGGCATTGAAATTCCAAACAACTGAAACCAACAACACTCACACATGTGTAAAACAACTACTTACTTTTAATCTACAATCATTACACAAGATTACAAAAAAAGGTAGATCACAAAAATAGTTACTAGTCTTGCTGTTCCAGACCTGAGGACTTTAAGCCTGCATTCTGCATCTGGTACATCAAGACTACAAATGTCAGTAAATATTTTCTCATTTTGACAAAATAAGACAAAAATAGTGCATTGATTTCTGTTCCATCACCAACTTAGCATTCATGTTTAGACATAAATTATAAGCAACACTTTAAGCTGGATTTCCACCAGGCGAATTTATTCACGCAAATCAAAGCGTTGGTTCGCTTCCTGAGCTCTGATTAGTTGCGAAGTTTTTCGCTTCGCAAAAACTTCAATAGGAATGTGAATGCGCATGAACCAACACTTTCGTTTCGCGCGAATAAATTCACCTAGTTGAAAACAGGCTTTAGGACATCTTAAAAATGAAGAATTTCTTAATCAAAATTATTCTTGGAAAATCTATAAAATAATGGGATATACTGTATAGTACATACTTTTTAGTAAGTACAGCATCCCCTTATTGGTTAGCAAGAACACTTTGTTCTGGTTTCAAGTTTTGCATAAGAATTACTATACATGTCAGAATTGAAACCACTTTAAAACTCAAGTTTATGTGTTGGCTGGGGCAAATGAAAACATTCCTGTATGGTATATACAAAAGGATTGTGTCTGAAACATTTCTGTTGTTCTTGTTTCGTCTTTTTGGAGAAAAAGTATTAGCGATGCTAGGATTGCTGCTGAACACTTTGAATTAATGTGATGTTATCTCCCTTTAACATGATCCGACCTATAAAAAAACAGAATAAGTACAAATGAATATACAGTAATATATAACATGATAGAAGGCCATGGCTTTTAACTGGACTAACAATGTCTTGCATCTCATACTTCAACATTATTATAGTGGGCTTAAAAATTGTACATTTTTTTTTCACAAAAATTACCTTTATAAATGATTATAGCAGCAACCAATATATGGTGTTTTTATTATGATTTACAGTGTGATAGAAGCTGATTGTTAATTAGATGGTATAAAAACTCTTTTCAAGCATCATGAATTTTATATAGAATTAAAGATAATTATAGGCCCCCTATTTGTTATATTGTACAGTATGTGAGCTCCCACTTAAAAAATCATTAGTATTTAATTTACAGTTAATTTTCCTTTCAATTTAAATGGTGTCAATATTATACTGTACACATATATCGTTTAGAAAATAAGAATGTATGAAAACAGAAAAAAATATATCATATAAAGAAAAATCAATTATTTGTAAAAATTTTAAACTACTGTATTAGGAATAAATAAAACATCATTCTGCTACAAAATAATAAATATGTAAATAAAATATAGACGGTTTCACACATTGCGATTTAGCTTACGATAAGCTGCGCTACGACACTTACAACTTTTTGAACATGTTCAAAATTCTACGATATCATACGCTTCTATATGAATAATAGTGTCGTGCTATATACTTGATACCTCTCACACAATGCACCAACTCCCACGCTCCAGATGATTTGAGACTGAGCATATCGTTGCGTTGCCTGTTGTGAGCAAAAATTGCAATGTGTTTAGATAAACATTAATGAACTTACCAAGTGGTTTCCTTGTTTGTTTCTTCAAGTGTACTTCCTCAGCATCTTCTAGCACCAAATTCATATATTCATCAAATCCCTTCAAAAATTAAGAAAATACTAAAAATATTATAAAATTGTAATAAATGTAATTTATAAACAATAATAAAAATAAATTAAAAGACAAAAAAAGAAAAATACTGAACCGCATAACTATACTGTTAGTCACCGGAGGGAAAAACTTTTCTGGTATAATGATTTTTCTGAGACAAAAAAAGCAGCAAAGCATATTTGACGAAAAACTTTGGAACGGCTAATGAGATACAGATTTTTGAATAGTTAAAAACTGGTTGAGAAAGAGAGGTAACCAACTTATTTTCTACCTTCCGAAAAATCAGTTGTACAGTACAACATAACAAATTTTGTTCCTCAAGAGCCCGACTTATGGAAACCTTTACGAACATTTAAAATCTAATTACTGTAGCAAAACTTACAATTATATGGCCTTCTATCCTCAGGTTTATTTGTTCATATACCCAGACCTGTATACGTGATCTCTGAAAAATGTAAGAAAATTCTGAGTGCTTTATTTCGCATATGTTTACATCTTGCAAAGACTGTTGTTGCTAAGTTTCAGGTGTCAAGTGCTGCAGTAGGATCCAGGAATTTGCTTTCTGACCCAACAATTGCTCCAGGTACTGTATTTTGTACCATTTAAATGTGGTGTTGTAAATAAACTAAGATTATCATCAGAATTATTATTCAGATCAAAATACAGTACACAAAATGATAAAAAAAAAATATACAGCATACTCACGTTTTGAAGGTATCTGAAAATAAGGTTCTACACAAAAGTCACGGAAAATGCACTTTGCAATATTTTAAATAAAGAACAAAATAAGATTTAAAACAAAAAGAAAAACATAAAAAGAAACAGATTGGCCACCAAACTGAGGAAAAAAAGGGGTGTAACTACCCTTTTCTCCCACTTTTTAATTCTGTATTCAAACCAGCTCCACCAATCAACAAATCAAATTTGCGTAAAATTGCTGGAACAATAACAGGCCCTAGGAATATATATACACAGTGACCAGGTCAGCAGATTATTTCTGATTCGACACCTCCTCAGGACCTTGTGGCATTGGATAACAGGTGGTCCATTGTTAACAATGGAGGAGCTATTTCGGGTAATTCCAATTTTGCCCGCACCTCCTTGATCCCCCAACCAACTTATCCTACACCTAGCAGACCCTCTATCTAGAGGGGCCCCAATAGGCCCTCGTCGTAGGCTAGACTAGCGTCATAAGCCGAGCCCGGTAGGCCGAACTGTGAGAGTGACTGCATTACAAACCTTGGCCTCCACCAGTTGGTCAACTCGATACCAACCCGGCAACAACCAAATTCTGTATTCAAACCAGCTACGTCAATGAACAAATCAAATTTGTATAAAATCATTGGGAATATACATTGTAGTGTCATGGGAATTTAAATAGATTTGCATCCACTGCCTACATACATGCCTCAAAATTTACCGCACGAAAATGTTAATTTAAAAAAAAAATTCATTCTTTTGAAAAAAAAAACCATCTTGTTTTTTTAAATGGCGTTTTAAATCATTCACAAACAGAAAAACAATCTAGTCCATGCATATTTCACAACACTTGATCGCTACGTCGCGAAGCCAGCACCATTATGATCACTTAGATCCGTCTGATTATAGTGTACAGAGTGTAGATTTATGACCGAATTGTATGCGTATACATTAATACATGTTCCGGCTTATGTACAACATTTGGTCAAAATAATTAATAATGAAAAAAACCTCATATCTGTTTTCAATATTTTGCGGATGCAAATCTGCAACTTCAATTTCCATAGCCTAAATAGCCCCCCTAGAGCAGGCCTATATGATACATTATCTTTAGCTCACGACTCATCCCATCATACATACCAGATTTACTCGATCTTACAGGGTTAATACTAGACGATAACATAGTGTCTAACTCCCGAGGGAGCAAAGACACGAAAAACTCAAATAGCACGCATCATCTGGCACTTTTTAGCAGTGTGTGCAATCGACGCATTCGCTGTCAGTGTTACAATGAATGAAGCGGCTTTATTAAATTTCTTTTTTTCCATGATGAAACGTGTCTTTGTTATTTATTTTTTTTCCAATTTCCAGACAGCTTCGCAGCCCTCCAAAAATGTTTCGCAGCCCAAATTTTGGCCGCGGACCATTTTACGGAACGTCGTCGTCCTACTCCTAGCAGGCCCTCTATCTAGAGTAGAGGGCCACAACAGATCCTCTATCTAGGCTAGACTAGCGGAGGCCGAGGCCAGTAGCTAGGCCAAATCTGTTCGAGGGATTAGGCCCTAGACCTAGGCCTCAGTACAAACAAAGCCAGCTCAGCCTTCGACACACCGCCGCTGGTTGGTTGACTCGACACCGACCCGCCAACAACAAAACTCAAGAAAAAAAACCCCAAAAGTACGAAATATATTTACTACCAAAGGATACAATAGGCTGAACCATAACCTTCTGTACTTTTTGACCTTTGTAAGCCATCTTCTTTGATTTAAATAAAGCTAAATATTGGAATTGAAACTGTAAAACGACAAGCGTGCGTTCAAAGCTACTATATGCTGCCCTCAACGATATACGTATTATAGAGGGTAGCAAACTGATAATAAATATAAATATTATAGTATGTCTACCCTGTGGATCTACCAATTGATTATAAGTCAAGTTAAAGTCTATACAAGCAATAGAAAAGCATAATTTTGAGTAAATCATTTTTTCGTTATATATTCATTTTAAAGCAATCAAAAACAATTTTCCTTTAGCCAAAAAAAAATCTTGATTTTCGGATATAAAAATCATTGCCAACATATTATAATATCTGTAATACCAAAAACATTTTTCAGTATCAAAAAGTTTAGAAATTCATGATATATAAAAATTATAGAATAATAACAAAACACTTGCAATAAATAAGTGACTTCCTAAATAAATACTATGGAGCATGCCATGTTCAACAGAAAAACAAATATATGACATTTTGTACAACTGATTTTTCTAAGTCGGACACCTAAATTTGATAAAAAACACTAAAAAAATGATTAATAGGAATAAGATTTTTAAAAACTGGGGTGACATGGGTGGTCACACCCCCTTTTTCCCAGTTATAATGATATTATCATCCAGATTAGGATACATTTTACCAATTTTCCAGTAGGGCTATATAATTATCTGGTACATAACACCTCCGTTAAGTATTATTTTATCAGATTTTGTATTGACGCTACAGTACTATAACTTCTCATAACCTCTCCAAAAATTCTCAACACGAGGTCTCAATACCAGTGTCTTTATTTTAACAAGCTTTGCAACATAAGCGATTTTCTAAATTTACTTTTACTTGCCTTTAAAAAAAATAAATGTTCGCATACCAGTGAATCCAAAGTATGAAGCCCTCAATGAGTAGCAATACAGTGACCTCAAGGTCACTCATCATAATTACATGCACAATCCAAGATGGGTATTGCAGAACATTAAATAAATACAATGTGGCATAATAAAACAGATACATTAATACAGTATATATGAAAAAATGTAGTCTAAAACACAGAAATTTCGCGGGGGCATTCCCCGGACCTCCTATTTCAGTGTTGTCTCGATCGGCCCAAATTTCGGCCCCCCCTTTCGGACATCTCTGGATCCGCCCCTGTTGAGAGTATTAACAACAAAATCAATTCTAGATTAGTATTATTATTAGGCTTATTAATCCATTATTAACTCTCAAAAACACCAATAAACATTTGTAAATTTGTTAGTAATTTTTATAAAAACATATTCTTTTATATATTAAAAAATAGTTATATATAAATAATATAAATTTCTTAAAACAATTTCTTTAGAAATGTTTAGCACAACACATCAATATATACAATAATTAATTCCCTAGCTATATTCAACATTTATAACATTCATAAGTAAATACAAATATTTAGTACAATATCAAATATTGCATACAAATGTTGCATAATCTTTATTTCAATGAACAGAAAACAAAACACATCAAGAAAATAATTCACTCTATTAGTTGTATTCTACATTAAAATTTTGTTATGCAATTCAATACTAGAGTTGTTTAAAATTTGTATTTAAATGGACAGAAAACTACCCATTGAAACATAATTCACTCCATTAGCTACATTCAATATTAAAATGTTTAAAACTGTGTTTAAAACTGTAATTTTTGGATTCTAAGTAATGCCCATAACAAATCATATCTTGACCAAAAGCACATCTTTAAAACAGAATGTAAATTTTGTTGTATAATCTTTATTCCAATGAACAGAAAACAAAACATATCAAGAAAATAATTCACTCTATTAGTTGTATTCTACATTAAAATTTTGCTATGTAATTCAATGCTAGAGTTGTTTAAAATTTGTATTTAAATGGACAGAAAACTACCCATTAAAACATAATTCACTCCATTAGTTACATTCAATATTAAAATGTTTAAAACTGTGTTTAAAACTGTAATTTTTGGATTCTAAGTAATGCCCATAACATATCATATCGTGACCAAAAGTTCAACTTTAAAACAGAATGTAAATGACCACATTCTTTAAGCTTTGATAAATTAGATAAATTCATAACAAAATTAAAAAGTTAGGAATGATGATATAATTCACAAATTTAAATTTTAATAAATTTTCAGAATAAATAAATGAGATGAAACCAAGAAAGTAGGTATTTCCACAAAATAATTACTATAGAAGTAAAAAATATTGCAAATGCTTCATATTCCTATCCCTTTACAACTATTTGTTGAAGTCATCTAATTCAATTATCTCAACAAATATACCCATATTAAAATTTGTTACATCAAAATTAATAACGACTGAATATACACACATTGCATTTTTAAACAAATCCATTACAACAATTGTATTTTAAAATCAATCATGTTAAGATTTACAAAGTGCATTATGTAATGGTATTGATATCAAACCAGAAAATGTAGTTCCAAATGTAATTGATATAGAAGACAAACCCATCGCAAATTCTCTATATTCTTCTTTAACCTGAAAAACAAATATATTAAATTTCAATGAAATACTGAAAGCAAACATGTATGTATAGTGTAAGATTGATCAACAATCTATCCATGTTTATCTAGGATAGAAATCTGATAGCTATTAGTGACCACCTCTGCTAGTGATAACTAAAGATGAGCATATTATGATATTAATTGTTTAAAGACTTCTATTATAGTCATTTAGAGAACTCTTAAATAATAATGACTTTTCCACATGTTGTTGGATACACATGGAATCTCTTCAATTCTCTATGGAGTATTTCTATGGGCCTGTTTCTACTGGAAAGAAATAATCGATTAAAAATCGCTTTTTCGAAAAATCGCTTTTATTCTCGCAGTAGAAATGGGACCAGTTTGAAAAAAGCGATTAAATAAAATCGATTAAAAACATGCAATGGATAGCGTGTTTCAACGAAAAATAACTGATTTTGACTGTGCACCTTTTAGCTGCAACACAAAACCAGAGCCTTGCAGGCGTCAACGTTCCTATGCATGATACACGACTTTTAGAAGTATATATACGTGTATATATATATATATATATGTATATATATACGTATATATATA